ATACTTATCATTTCTAGGAAAATAACAACTTTATGTCACTTTTTCTGAATTCTTTAATTGGCCTAATCTTTGCTTTCGCTTTAACTCCTCACTGACACTTGCTTGTTGTTCTTCCTTTCTCTTCTTGGTCTTGTCATCTCTTCTTGCTCTTCTCTGCTCTGCTTCCTTGAAGTTTAATATAACCATTCATTCCTCTACATTTGCCTAACATTTAACAGCACTATCATCTATCCCTWTCCACTCTAACGCCTTCACTTTCACCGTAATTCCAGTGTAGCTGTCGCTGGAGAGCGCGCGTCAGTTAAACTTTTGTGAAAAGTTCAGAAGTTTTTACTTAATTCATTTGAAGTGAAATAAATAAAGCAGATAATCGGTGAGAGTAACTATTTTGCTGAAGATAAACGTGAAATTGCTTAAGAAAAGTGAAGAAAATAAAAGCATAATGGATTTTTACTTCATTTAAAGCGAATTTTATAGCTTTTGAGGTTAGTTGTGGTTAAATTARTAATAGGTGAGGTTAGGTTATATAAATTTCATTGGGTTTGGTAAGACTTTCGGTACGGTAAATTATGACTACATTGGAGGAAATAAKATTTGCTGACGCGGAATGCGAGTGGGAATAGGTTATATGCAGTTTTTTTTTGTAAGAACTGAGGTAAATTTGATTTAGTTCGTGGTTATAAACGAAAGTAATAAGGCGGAGTCTTTATATAATATCTAGACTAAGATGATATGATTAATGACACACAGCTTTGCTAATATGGAAARAAACAAGTCTTGAGGCAAGGAAGTGTCTAATTAATATCAATATAACAACCATCTCGTATTCCCAAAACTCGTATCAAAAGTAGGCAGTCGTATACCCAAAACTGTCTTGTTCATAGTACAGAACTTAAAAATGTGAAMTCCTTTCGTTACTTGTGTATTTGCAAACTGAGGATCTAAGGAAGACAACACCAGCCTTATAAAAATACCCCAATGTGGCCTGTGGCCTATCAAAATATTGAACTCAACTTTAACTTCACATGGAATATGCAATCCTCTCACATCTAATATCCAAAAGCTGCAAGTTTCCATAAACAGAGATTCAGATTAATATCCATTATGTACCGCATTTTCTTGACCTTTCACCGTCTCTTACACATACTTATGGTTACGCATAAACTAAACACATCTTTTCGCCGWTATTCTCTAAAGAAAATATCGATGACTTGGGTTCTCTCATTCTTAAAATAAATTGAGGTTGGCTCGGGCATGTTCTTTGACCTTATCCAAACGCAATCATCCTGAACGCTATCGACTGGAATCTACTAGGCAGCCATCTTAAAGGCCCTGCCGCAGTAACCTAGAGAAGAAATGTGGACATTAAAATATCCAAGGTCCAAAAAAATTGGAGTAAAATCAACACATACAACTATTTSTTTGAATATTGAAAAATGCATATGGTTTAAACCATACAGAACCTCAATTCAAATAAACAGTAAAACGCCAAATCTTCAA